GGAGGGTTCCGCTGCGCTCGGCACTGAGCGAGGACGATGGGATTTGTAAGTCTGAAACATCTGGATTAGCTCCGGCATCAAATCCCACCGGGGCGAGAGCAGCAGAGGAAAAAAACCTGCAGCCCTTTTTGGGGTGTGTGTGTGTGACAGAGGCTTCTCCAGAAAGATGCTTGCTTAGCCATCTTTGTCGAGGGGAAATTGCAGAACTGCTGCAGCCAGGGCTTTAATCCAAGGATTCCCTGTTCCCCTGAGCTTCAGGGTCCCAGTTCGAGTCCTGCCCTCTGATCTGGGACTCGTGTGGCAGCAGAGAGCAGCTCCCCGGTGGGACTCGGCAGCCGGGGATCAGCTCCGCCTTGCCTGGCTACAGGGAGGAGGCAGGAGCGCAAGGGAGAGTGGCGTGCGTGCGCTCGTCCCCGTGCCCAGATGTTCCCCTGCCAGCCGTGGGAGGCGTTGCCCGCTGGAGAAGTCCCGTACCTGCTTCCCTGCCCTACCAACTGCTGGTTCTGCCCTCCGGCAGCTGCCTTCACCGCGCCTCCCTTTCCAGCCGGTGCCAAAAGGGGCCGGCGCTCCCTCTTTTCACACGGGGGGCTTTCCCAGGGCAGGAATTTCCAGCAAGACTCAGGAAGCCGGCTGGGGTGCCGGCCGCAGAGGGCAGGGTGACGGGGTTGGCATCCTGAAAGCCGCGCCGGGCGCTAGGCAGGATGGGTGGGGAGGAGCTGCTAGGGAGAGGGCCTGGGGGGGCAGGAAAGAGGCATCCTTGCCTTCCCATCCCACGGCATTCATCCAGGGCACCTCCCTGGGCACCCATCCCTTGCTTCCCCAGATCCACAGGTCAACAGAACACAAGTGGCTGCATTCACACGGCTTGTGCAGATTGTAATAATAGTAATAATAATAGTAATAATAGTAAAGTTGGAAGGGACCTTGGAGGTCATCCAGTCCAACCCCCTGCTCAGGCAGGAAACCCTATACCATTTCGGACTGATGGTTGTCCAGTCTCTTCTTAAAAACTTCCAGTGTTGGCGCATTCACTGCTTCTGGAGGCAGGTTGTTCCACTGGTTAATTGTTCTAACTGTCAGGAAGTTTCTCCTTAGTTCTAGGTTGCTTCTCTCCTTGATGAGTTTCCACCCGTTGCTTCTTGTCCTGCCTTCAGGCGCTTTGGAGAATAGCTTGACTGCCTCTTCTTTGGGGCAGCCCCTGAGATACTGGAAGGCTGCTATCCTGTCCCCCCTCGTCCTTCTCTTCGTTAAACTAGACATACCCAATTCCAGTAGCCGTTCCTTGTATGCTTTAGCCTCCAGTCCCCTAATCATCTTTGTTGCTCTTCTCTGTACTCTTTCTAGAGTCTCAACATCTTTTTTACATCGTGGTGACCAAAACTGGATGCAGTATTCCAAGTGTGGCCTTACCAAGGCCTTGTAAAGTGGTATTAATACTTCACGTGATCTTGATTCTATCCCTCTGTTAATGCAGCCCAGCACTGTGTTGGCTCTTTTGGCAGCTGCAGCACACGGCTGGCTCCTATTTAAGTGATTGTCCGATTGCTGAAGGTTCACGTCATTCGTTCCCTCACCTGGGGAGGTTGGTTTTACGATTCAGTGTATTGGGGCAACTCCGAAAAACGGGGTGCCTTGGATAAACCCCACTCTAAGAACGAGTTTCTTTCCACCACCACCCCTTGAGGGGGTGGCTGCATCTGCCCAGCTGGGACCCAGCGACGGGCAAGGCTGCGGCAGTGACCCCCGTGTCCTCTGGATGACTGTGCCCAGGCGGCTTTGCCCATGCCTGTGCCAGCCTTCTTGGCGTTGAGTGGCGGAGGGCTTGATTGGCAGCTCGCTCGGCTCTCCTTCCCCAGGGAGCAGGTGGGCATCTCGGGGGCTGCGCAAGGAGAAGGGAGATCAGCTCTCCCTTTGGCCCTTCCCCTCCCCATCGTGATCCAGAGGTCTATTTTTTCCTGCGCTGTTCGGTCTCATCGCTTTGTCTGAAATAGACCCTGTTTTCAATCCAGCCCAGGCTCTGGTGACAGGTGCAACTGGTCATGGGGGGGGGGGGGNGAGAAGGGAGATCAGCTCTCCCTTTCGCCCCCGCCCTTCCCCTCCCCATCGTGATCCAGAGGTCTATTTTTTCCTGCGCTGTTCGGTCTCATCGCTTTGTCTGAAATAGACCCTGTTTTCAATCCAGCCCAGGCTCTGGTGACAGGTGCAACTGGTCATGGGGGGGGGGAGGCAGGGAGAAGAGAGGGAGGGGGGTGTTTTCTTTCCGGCCAGGCCTGGCTGGGGATCCAGAGGCAGGCGTAACCAATCCCAGAACGGGCGTCCAGTGTCTGTTTCTGCAGCCAGCCAGGATTATGGGCAAACTGGGCTTCTAACTGCAGCCCAGATTTGGGGGGGGGATTTTATTATTGTCCCTGCTGCTTACAGGTCGACCAGCCTCTAGTTTAGCTTCCCTTGATTTGGGGGGGCAAGGGGGGGCTGGAAGCAGGCACCAAAGGAGTGGAAAGGTCTTTGCAATGGAAGAAGGGCCTCGGCTGGGTTTATTTGGGGGCGAGGGGGCCAGAGTTGCTTCATTCCCCATAGAGGGGAGAGAGCCCCCCCAAGATACCTTCAAAGCACCCCCCCTCCCCTGGCTTGAGAGGGGCTCAGAAAAACCCCTCAGGGGAGATGAAGGCCTGCCCAGTCCAGCTCTCGTGCCCTCAAATGGAGAGTGGTCAGCAGCATTTAAGGCCGGGTCTTCCTCTGCTCCACCCGGGGAGAGGCTGAGGACTGAATCTGAGGGCTCACACCCCACACACACACACAATGGCCTCTGCCATCCTGGGCACTAGGCCCCTTTCTTCATGGTTGGGGCTCTGTGTGTGTGTGTGTGTGCATGGTGCAATTTCTGAGATCATAACAGCCCCCTCTGCGCCCAAGAGCTTTTGGGCAGCGCTGACCCCCCTCTGCTCTCTTGGTTTGGCAGGGATTTCCTTCCACTTCCCCAAGGAGTTTGACCTCCCCTCTGCGGGTGTTTTCCTCCCCCAGGGCCCTCATCCAGCGGGCGATACCTGTGCCAGCTCTCCCAGCTTGGCCAAGGCCACTGGCTGCCCAGCTTAAAAGCGTCCCAGCGTAGCAGAGTCCCAAGTCCCAAGGCAGATGCCGGCAGGTTGGCACGGTGCCCTGCCGGCCTTCCCAGGCCCCACGGTTCCCCGGATCCTACTTCCCCTCTTCCTTTCACAAAGGGCCCTCCGTCCAGCTAAATCCCCTTTTATGCCGGCAGCCCAGTCCTTTGTCCCCGGCCCGGTCAGCCTGCAGTAATGTGGCCGGGCCGTGTGTTTGCACAGGAAAATGCTGCTTTGACGAATTCCTGTCCCCGGTCTGGAGCCCCGGGCGGCCCTCTGCCCAGTGGTGGGACCGGCTGCTTTGCCTCACCTGAGTCCCCTTGAGGAGAGGGGCTGGTGGAGCTGGAGGACCCAGGTATCTCTTAACCCCCTCCCCCCTGCCAACTCTGGATCATGACTATCTGCTTCCTTACCCTAAACCAGCACGCAGGAAGGTTGAATCTCTGCCAGAGACCCCTCCTTCTTTTTTACTCCTGCTCTCCGGAGACGGGTGCTGGATGCCTGGGGTGCTTCCGTCCTCCTGGCCCTTTGCAAGCCCCTCTCCCCCATTCAGGGGGGGGGGGCTAAAGGCTGGGGCAGGGCACCCCCAGTTGGGGAGCTCAACGTGCCCTTCTTCCTGGATCTGCTGGCCAACTGGAGGCTGCCCAGCCCATCAACCCTTCCTCGTCTCTGGGCCCTGCCTGGCAGCCCAGAACCACCAGGAGAGAGAAACCCAGGCAGACAGACACAGTCGGATCGGTGTGGCTGCCTCTGTGTGTGTGTGTGTGTGTGTGTATGTGCCTTCTGCCCAGGTGTTCGGGAGAGAGCCATCCTCCCTTCCCCAAAGGATAACCCCCCCCCCCGGTCACTTGGCACATCCTTCCAGGCTCGGGAGCTTCTGCTGAAGGGCACGTGCCAATGTGTGTGGTTTTACAGCTCCCATCACCCCCCCCCCCACAAGGCGGTACCGATTTGAGAAGTGGCAGGCAGGTAGAAGTGGCAGGGGGAGCTTTCCTTGCCAGGGGGAGTCTGCCCCTGAATTCCTAAGGAGTGAGAGCGGGAGGGGTTTCCGTGAGCCTCTCGGCCTAACCGGAGGCCCTGGTTGCCGGCTCAGAGCACCTCTCCGGGCAAGAAATAGCGGGCCCTGCTGCAGGCAGTGTGAGCTTGACGCACGCTCCCCATTCTTGCTTCAGGGCTCGCCTGGAGAGTGGCAGCCTCGGGGCATGGCTGGTAGCGGCTGCAAGGCAGGAGGGGAGGGGCCAGGCCAGGAAGAGTTCTCCTCCTGCCAGGGGTGGTGAACGGGCAGCGTGGGCTTCTCGCATCGCTCTCTCGTTGCGAACCGTGCACAACACCCGCGAGTTGGCCCGTCCGCCAGCGCTGGCATCACGGGCCAAGGCTGGCATCTCCTTCCCAGACAGAGCCCCTATCTGAAAGACAGACATACCCCCCCACCCAGTGCAGAGAACTCCTTGGTCCAGTGGTGGCGAACCTCTGGCACGGGTGCCAGAGGCGGCACGCAGAGCCCTCTCTGTGGGTACGCGCATCGTTGCCCCAGTCCTAGGCCTTCAGCTGGGTTTTATAAAACCTTTTCGCTTTAGGCCTCCACCGACGTGTGCAAAAAAGAAAAAAAGGTTCAATCAGTCAATTTCAACTTATCTCGGGGAAAAAAAGATCTGGAATTGATTGATTGAACTTTTTAGTCCCACCCAGTCTGCCGTTACCACCCCAGCCACGCCCACCTAATGGGCCACGCCCACCCGGCACTCAATGATGCATAAGTGGGTTTTGGGTTGCAGTTTGGGCACTCAGTCTCTAAAAGGTTCGCCATCACTGCCTTGGTCGCTTCCTCAAGCATCGGGGAACCTAACCAGGCAGTCCTGGGGGTTGGGGTTTTTTTGACTAATTCCGCCTCTTTCTGCCATTATGGCAGGGATGGGAATAGCCTTTCTCTGCATTCGCAGAGGTGCTCATCGGCCTGCAGCTGAACTGCGGGTCTGCAAGCGGGGGAGCCCCCGTTTGGTAGCAGTGCCAACGTGGCCGTGGGCATCCCTTCTCCAAGTCCCATCTTTTGCTTCCAGGGTGAGGGGAAATTCCCTTCAGAGCACCATCTTCCAAGTTTTCCGGTTGGCTGAGGATCCGCGCCACCTGCTTCCCGCCATGCCTCTCTCGGTGCGGGGATGAAGGATGGTTGGGCTGGTGTGGCATTCCTTCATTCTCCCCCCCCAAGAGCCCTCAAGGGAATCACAGCCTCCGCCCTTCCGCCCCAGAGCACCTTGAGGACCCTTGCCTTCCACTCTCGATGGGTCTCTTGCGCCCTTCGGAACAAGCCCCCTTTGTAGTCTGCCAACTTAGGCTCTTGTCAAGGCGGTGAAGTGGCCGTAATCCCTTTGATGCTGTTTCTCCAGGGGGGGCGGCGTTTTCCCTGCGTGGTACCCCCAGCCCTGCAGGGGGGGGGAAAGGTGCTTTGCTCTCTGCTCAGCATCTTGCAAGCGGCTTATGCCAGGGTTCGGGCATCGGGGGCCAGGAGGAGTCTGGAACTGGGGATGTGGGCAGGAGGTGATCCGGGGCTGGGAGACAATCTCCCCCCCTAACACCCCTCCTCTCTTTTGCAGGTGGCTCAGGCCTCCAGCCGGCTGGACGAGGCCACGTTCCCAGAGGACACAGAATCGGAGAGTACCCACTGGCTCCGGACGAGTTACGATAGCACGTTTGACGATGAGGATCTCATGGCTGGCGGCCCGTCCGGAGGTGAGCCTGGAAGAGGATGAGCCCCGGGAGGGCTTCAGAGACTGGCGGAGCCTCTTCAGCCCCCCTCCCTTCCCCCCCCCTTTTGGCCCTCCTGCCAGCCACTGATCTTCTGCTTGTTGCAGATGAGAACGGCAGCGGAGAGAACGGCAGCGGGATCACCTCGGTCGACTCCTCCCACGACCTCTTCTCCACAGGTAAGCGCGTGCTGGGCTGGTGGTTGGAGAACTCGCACAAAGACGGCTGGTGAGGCCCGGGGGGGGTTGCCCACGTGGTTCCCCAAGTGCCTCCCCAGCTCTTAAGGGCAGAGCCGCCCCTTGGCAAGGCGTCTGGTCCCGGACGCGGCCCCTTGCACCTGCTCCGAGTTTCTGGGCTCCAGGTTGGCGGCCTTCAGAGCTGCAGAAGGTGTTGGGAGCGGCTGGGCCCGGCTTCGGCGCGTCCCGGGAGCCGCGGCCAAGCTGGTCCACGTGCAAGAATCTCTGGCGTGCACGGAGCAGAATCATCCGGGGGCGTGGATGGGAAAGGCTGCGGGCCGGCCTGTCTGGAGGGTCCCTGGGGCCGAGGCTGCCTGTTCTCAGAGCGTTTTAGCAGATGGCTCCCCTCCCTTCCTTCCTTCTCGGCCAGGAACGGCCTTCTGGCGATGGAGGAAGAAATGTTTTCTCACTCTTTGAGGCTTCCCTGTGCAGGAAAATACCAAACCAGCCACGTTTACCTTCAGGCCCGCTTGGAGGGTTAGGGTCCCCAGCCCGGGGCCTTCCTCCAAGAAGCCTCGGTCGGCAGCTCCCCTTGCGTTCCAAGCGGCAGCTGGACGGTCTGCTGGCTGCAGAAGGCAGCTCTTTTCAGGCGTCCCCTGTCCTCTCTTGAACCCAGCTCTTTCTGCTGCCCTCCCCTCTATCCCCCCGCCCTTCCCGGTTTTCATTCCCTGATGCTCTCAAGCCCGACAGATGTGTGGTGTGTGTGTGTGTGTGTTTGTTTATTCCTTTGACCCCTGGGAAGCAGCAAGCTCTGGCCTCGCTTACTTCGGACAACCCCGTTCCAGAAAACGGGGCCAACCTCCCCCCCACCCCCCCACCCCACTGCCTTGTTTTCTCTGGGACAGCTGGCGCAGCAGTTCACCAGATGCAGCTTGGCTTCCACAGCCCAGCCCCGCTGATGTGTGGGTGTGTGAAGAGAGCGGCGCTCATCACACCCGGTCTGGGGGACGACGTGCCTCTTTTCCCCCCAACCTCGGTCTAGCCATTCTCCCACACGTTGTCGTCGGTGGGTCAAGCCCGAAAGCCGGGGCTACCAGCAGATGGCCTGTGGCTTCGGGGAGTTTCCCAAGGTGGAAGGGAGAGAGGACGAAGGCCTTCTGCTCCGGGCTGTCTTGGGTGTGGTGGGCCTCCTCGGTGAGGAGGCTTCAGGAGAGGTCCTGCAAGTGGGGTGGCTGGTCAGGGCCACGAGGGAGAAGAAAGGTGCCCGCGAGGTGGGCTTGCCGTTTGCCTCTGGCCTTGCGCCTTCCGCTGGATCTCCAGATGTTTCTTCTTTCTTTCTTTCGCCTGTCCCTTTCTTTCTCTCCTTTCTCTCCTCTGCAGACTTCCCATCTCCTCCTGCTCCTCCTCCTCCTTCTCCTCTTCCTTCTCCTGCGGGCCCTCCTGCGCCTGCCCACCTGGCCGCCCCCGAGCCGGACGATGAGTCTCCGCTCAGTAAGTCGGGCTAGAGGATCCCCAGGCTGAGTTGGTGGAGGAAATCAGTTCTGGGCTGGGAGAGCAGCGGGACCCCTGACCCCCTGGACGGGACGGGCGTCAGGCCTTGCCGGGAGAGTTATGCCACCCTCTCCAACACCCCGTTGGCCGAGTAGCCAGGACAGTGAGGGGCTAACCGCCTGTCCTGCTCTCCCCCCCCCCCAAGGCAGGACGTTTTCAGCTTTGCTTTGCTTTGCTTTGGATGTGATGAGGACTCAGTTGGGATTTGATCAGCCAGCCCTGGTGTGGACGGGTTTTACTACTGACCCATTACTCCGCTGGGGCTGTGGAGTAAGGGGCACAGGAAGAACTCTGCCAACTGGGTCAGCCCCAAAGGGACTTCTCTGGGGCAGAAGGAGGAGGCTGTGGGCTTGAGGTCCCCATGATTCAGGGGAAATCCTCCCCCACCCCAGTCTCCTGGTATTTTTTGATGCCCCCCCCCTCACCCCCCAGCTTCCCTGCAAGGTCCAGGGCCTCTGAAAGTAGCGGGGAGGGGGGGGGAAGTTGACTCAGCCCCGGAGCCCTTTCCGCATTGTTCTCCTTCGCAGCTGCAGGCAGCTCCCCACCGCCTTAAAAGGAGGCAAAGCTCCAGCCCTGCTTTGTGCCCCCCCCCNGAGAAGGGAGATCAGCTCTCCCTTTCGCCCCCGCCCTTCCCCTCCCCATCGTGATCCAGAGGTCTATTTTTTCCTGCGCTGTTCGGTCTCATCGCTTTGTCTGAAATAGACCCTGTTTTCAATCCAGCCCAGGCTCTGGTGACAGGTGCAACTGGTCATGGGGGGGGGGAGGCAGGGAGAAGAGAGGGAGGGGGGTGTTTTCTTTCCGGCCAGGCCTGGCTGGGGATCCAGAGGCAGGCGTAACCAATCCCAGAACGGGCGTCCAGTGTCTGTTTCTGCAGCCAGCCAGGATTATGGGCAAACTGGGCTTCTAACTGCAGCCCAGATTTGAGAGGGGGGGATTTTATTATTGTCCCTGCTGCTTACAGGTCGGCCAGCCTCTAGTTTAGCTTCCCATGATTTGGGGTGTAAGGGGGGGCTGGAAGCAGGCACCAAAGGAGTGGAAAGGTCTTTGCAATGGAAGAAGGGCCTCGGCTGTCTTTATTTGGGGGCGAGGGGGCCAGAGTTGCTTCATTCCCCATAGAGGGGAGAGAGCCCCCCCAAGATACCTTCAAAGCACCCCCCTCCCCTGGCTTGAGAGGGGCTCAGAAAAACCCCTCAGGGGAGTTGAAGGCCTGCCCAGTCCAGCTCTCGTGCCCTCAAATGGAGAGTGGTCAGCAGCATTTAAGGCCGGGTCTTCCTCGGCTCCACCCGGGGAGAGGCTGAGGACCGAATCTGAGGGCTCACCCCTCAATCACCCCCCCCACACACAATGGCCTCTGCCATCCTGGGCACTAGGCCCTTTTCCTCATGGTTGGGGCTGTGTGTGTGTGTGTGTGTGCATGGTGCGATATCTGAGATCATAACAGCCCCCTCTGCGCCCAAGAGCTTTTGGGCAGCGCTGGCCCCCCTCGGCTCTCTTGGTTTGGCAGGGATTTCCTTCCACTTCCCCAAGGAGTTTGACCTCCCCTCTGCGGGTGTTTTCCTCCCCCAGGGCCCTCATCCAGCGGGCGATACCTGTGCCAGCTCTCCCGGCTTGGCCAAGGCCACTGGCTGCCCAGCTTAAAAGCGTCCCGGCGAAGCAGAGTCCCAAGTCCCAAGGCAGATGCCGGCAGGTTGGCACGGTGCCCTGCCGGCCTTCCCAGGCCCCACGGTTCCCCGGATCCTACTTCCCCTCTTCCTTTCACAAAGGGCCCTCCGTCCAGCTAAATCCCCTTTTATGCCGGCAGCCCAGTCCTTTGTCCCCGGCCCGGTCAGCCTGCAGTAATGTGGCCGGGCCGTGTGTTTGCACAGGAAAATGCTGCTTTGACGAATTCCTGTCCCTGGTCTGGAGCCCCGGGTGGCCCTCTGCCCAGTGGTGGGACCGGCTGCTTAGCCTCACCTGAGTCCCCTTGAGGAGAGGGGCCGGTGGAGCTGGAGGACCCAGGTATCTCTTAACACCCCCCCCCCCCAAACTCTGGATCGTGACTATCCGCTTCCTTACCCTAAACCAGCACGCAGGAAGGTTGAATCTCTGCCAGAGACCCCCCCCTTCTTTTTTACTCCTGCTCTCTGGAGACGGGTGCTGGATGCCTGGGGTGCTTCCGTCCTCCTGGCCCTTTGCAAGCCCCTCTCCCCCATTCAGGGGGGGGGGCTAAAGGCTGGGGGAGGGCACCCCCAGTTGGGGAGCTCAACGTGCCCTTCTTCCTGGATCTGCTGCCCAGCCCATCAACTCTTCCTCATCTCTGGGCCCTGCCCGGCAGCCCAGAACCACCGGGAGAGAGAAACCCAGGCAGACAGACACAGTCAGATCGGTGCGGCTGCTTCTGTGTGTGTGTGTGTGTGTGTGTGTGTGTGTGTGTGTGTGTGTGTGTGCGCCTTCTGCCCAGGTGTTTGGGAGAGAGCCACCCTCCCTTCCCCAAAGGGTAACCCTGGTCACTTGGCACATCCTTCCAGGCTCGGGAGCTTCTGGTGAAGGGCACGTGCCAATGTGTGTGGTTTTACAGCTCCCATCACCCCCCCCCCCAAGGCGGCACCGATTTGAGAAGTGGCAGGCAGGTAGAAGTGGCAGGTGGAACTTCCCTTGCCAGGGGGAGTCTGCCCCTGAATTCCTAAGGAGTGAGAGCAGGAGGGGTTTCTGTGAGCCTCTCGGCCTAACCGGAGGCCCTGGTTGCCGGCTCAGAGCGCCTCTCCGGGCAAGAAATAGCGGGCCCTGCGGCGGGCAGTGTGAGCTTGATGCACGCTCCCCATTCTTGCTTCAGGGCTCGCCTGGAGAGTGGCAGCCTCGGGGCATGGCTGGTAGCGGCTGCAAGGCAGGAAGGGAGGGGCCAGGCCAGGAAGAGTTCTCCTCCTGCCAGGGGTGGTGAACGGGCAGCGTGGGCTTCTCGCATCGCTCTCTCTCGTTGCGAACTGTGCACAACACCTGCGAGTTGGCCCATCCGCCAGCGCTGGCATCACGGGCCAAGGCTGGCATCTCTCCTTCCCAGACAGAGCCCATCTCTGAAAGACAGAGACATACCCCCCCCTCCAGTGCAGAGAACTCCTTGGTCCAGTGGTGGCGAACCTATGGCACGGGTGCCAGAGGCGGCACTCAGAGCCCTCTCTGTGGGCACGCGCGCCGTCGCCCCAGTCCTAGGCCTTCAGCTGGGTTTTATAAAACCTTTTCGCTTTAGGCCTCCGCCACCGTGTGCAAAAAAGAAAAAAAGGTTCAATCAGTCAATTTCAACTTATCTCGGGGAAAAAAAGATCTGGAATTGATTGATTGAACTTTTTAGTCCCACCCAGTCTGCCGTTACCACTGCAGCCACGCCCAGCCAATGGGCCACGCCCACCCGGCACTCAATGATGCATAAGTGGGTTTTGGGTTGCAGTTTGGGCCCTCGGTCTCTAAAAGGTTCGCCATCACTGCCTTGGTCGCTTCCTCAAGCATCGGGGAACCTAACCAGGCAGTCCTGGGGGTTGGGTTTTTTTGACTAATTCCGCCCCTTTCTGCCATTATGGCGGGGCTGGGAATAGCCTTTCTCTGCATCCGCAGAGGTGCTCATCGGGCCGCAGCTGAACTGCGGGTCTGCAAGCGGGGGAGTCCCCATTTGGTAGCAGTGCCAACGTGGCCGTGGGCATCCCTTCTCCAAGTCCCATCTTTTGCTTCCAGGGTGAGGGGAAATTCCCTTCAGAGCACCATCTTCACGTTTTCCGGTTGGCTGAGGATCCGCGCCACCTGCTTCCCACCCTGCCTCTCTGGGTGCAGGGATGAAGGATGGCTGGGCTGGTGTGGCATTCCTTCATTCCCCCCCCTGAGAGCCCTCAAAGGAATCACAGCGTCCGCCTTTCCGCCCCAGAGCACCTTGAGGACCCTTGCCTTCCGCTCTCGATGGGTCTCTTGCGCTCTTCGGAACAAGCCCCCTTTGTAGTCTGCCAGCTTGGGCTCTTGTCAAGGTGGTGAAGTGGCCATAATCCCTTTGATGCTGTTTCTCCAGGCAGAGGGGGGGATTTTCCCTGTGTGGCACCCCCAGCCCTGCAGGGGGGGGGGAGGGAAAGGAGCTTTGCTCTCTGCTCAGCATCTTGCAAGCGGCTTATGCCAGGGTTCGGGCATCGGGGGCCAGGAGGAGGCCGGAGCTGGGGATGTGGGCAGGAGGCGATCCAGGGCTGGGAGACAATCTCCCCCCCTAACCCCCCTCCTCTCTTTTGCAGGTGGCTCAGGCCTCCAGCCGGCTGGACGAGGCCACGTTCCCGGAGGACACAGAATCGGAGAGTACCCACTGGCTCCGGATGAGTTACGATAGCACGTTTGACGATGAGGATCTCATGGCTGGCGGCCCGTCCGGAGGTGAGCCTGGAAGAGGATGAGCCCCGGGAGGGCTTCGGAGACTGGCGGAGCCTCTTCAGCCCCCCCTCCCTTCCCCCCCCTTTTTGGCCCTCCTGCCAGCCACTGATCTTCTGCTTGTTGCAGATGAGAACGGCAGCGGAGAGAACGGCAGCGGGACCACCTCGGTCGACTCCTCCCACGACCTCTTCTCCACAGGTAAGCGCGTGCTGGGCTGGTGGTTGGAGAACTCGCAAAAGACGGCTGGTGAGGCCCGGGGGGGGTTGCCCACGTGGTTCCCCAAGCGCCTCCCCAGCTAAGGGCAGAGCTGCCCCTTGGCAAGGCGTCTGGTCCCGGACACGGCCCCTTGCACCTGCTCCGAGTTTCTGGGCTCCAGGTTGGCGGCCTTCAGAGCTGCAGAAGGTGCTGGGAGCGGCTGGGCCCGGCTTCGGTGCGTCCCGGGAGCCGAGGCCAAGCTGGTCCACGTGCAGGAATCTCTGGCGCACACGGAGCAGAATCATCCGGGGGCGTGGATGGGAAAGGCTGCGGGTCGGCCTGTCTGGAGGGTCCCTGGGGCCGAGGCTGCCTGTTCTCAGAGCGTTTTAGCAGATGGCTCCCCTTCCTTCCTTCCTTCTCGGCCAGGAACGGCCTTCTGGCGATGGAGGAAGAAATGTTTTCTCACTCTTTGAGGCTTCCCTGTGCAGGAAAATACTGAACCAGCCGCATTTGCCTTCAGGCCCGCTCAGAGGGTTAGGGTCCCCAGCCTGGGGCCTTCCTCCAAGAAGCCTCGGTCGGCAGCTCCCCTTGCGTTCCAAGCGGCAGCTGGACGGTCTGCTGGCTGCAGAAGGCAGCTCTTTTCAGGCGTCCCCTGTCCTCTCTTGAACCCAGCTCTTTCTGATGCCCTTCCCTCTATCCCCCCCCCTTCCCGGTTTTCATTCCCTGATGCTCTCTGCCAGTCGATCAAGCCCAACAGATGTGTGGTGTGTGTTTGTTTATTTATTCCTTTGCCCCCTGGGAAGCAGCATTCGGACAACCCCGTTCCAGAAAGCGGGGCCAGCCTCCCCCCCCCGCTGCCTTGTTTTCTCTGGGACAGCTGGCGCAGCAGTTCACCAGATGCAGCTTGGCTTCCACAGCCCAGCCCCGCTGATGTGTGGGTGTGTGAAGAGAGCGGCGCTCATCACACCCGGTCTGGGGGACGACGTGCCTCTTTTCCCCCCCAACCTCGGTCTAGCCATTCTCCCACACGTTGTCGTCGGTGGGTCAAGCCTGAAAGCCGGGGCTACCAGCAGATGGCCTGTGGCTTCGGGGAGTTTCCCAAGGTGGAAGGGAGAGAGGACGAAGGCCTTCTGCTCCGGGCTGTCTTGGGTGTGGTGGGCCTCCTCGGTGAGAAGGCTTCAGGAGAGGCCCTGCAAGTGGGGTGGCTGGTCAGGGCCACGAGGGAGAAGAAAGGTGCCCGTGAGGTGGGCTTGCCGTTTGCCTCTGGCCTTGCGCCTTCCGCTGGATCTCCAGATGTTTCTTCTTTCTTTCTTTCGCCTGTCCCTTTCTTTCTCTCCTTTCTCTCCTCTGCAGACTTCCCATCTCCTCCTGCTCCTCCTCCTCCTTCTCCTCTTCCTTCTCCTGCGGGCCCTCCTGCGCCTGCCCACCTGGCTGCCCCCGAGCCGGACGATGAGTCTCCGCTCAGTAAGTCGGGCTAGAGGATCCCCAGGCTGAGTTGGTGGAGGAAATCAGTTCCGAGCTTGGAGAGCAGCGGGACCCCTCAGCCCCCTGGACGGGACGGGCGTCAGGCCTTGCCGGGAGAGTTAGGCCACCCTCTCCAACACCCCGTTGGCCGAGCAGCCAGGACAGTCGGGCTGACCGCCTGTCCTGCTCTCCCCCCCCCAAGGCAGGACATTTTCTGCTTTGCTTTCCTTTGCATGTGATGAGGACTCAGTTGGGATTTGCTCAGCCAGCCCTGGTGTGGACGGGTTTTACTACTGACCCATTACTCCGCTGGGGCTGTGGAGTAAGGGGCGCAGGAAGAACTCTGCCGGCTGGGTCAGCCCCAAAGGGACTTCTCTGGGGCAGAAGGAGGAGGCTGTGGGCTTGAGGTCCCCATGATTCAGGGGAAATCCTCCCCCACCCCAGTCTCCTGGTATTTTTTGATGGCCCCCCTCACCCCCCAGCTTCCCTGCAAGGTCCAGGGCCTCTGAAAGTAGCGGGGAGGGGGGGGAAGTTGACTCAGCCCCGGAGCCCTTTCCGCATTGTTCTCCTTCGCAGCTGCAGGCAGCTCCCCACCGCCTTAAAAGGAGGCAAAGCTCCAGCCCTGCTTTGTGCCCCCCCCCNCACACACCCTGGGGGGTGAAGCCCCATAGCTCTGTCATCCCAAAAACGGCTGAGTCAGGGAGCCCTTTTCCCCTGAGCCTCAAAGTGTCAGCCCCGACACTGCAGGCTTGCTTCCTCCGAACGTTACTGGCTGCAGAGGTGTGTGGCAGGAAAGAGGCAGGGCACGCGGGGCCGGCCTGGCACATTCCCCGACAGCGGCTGTGGGGACAACGTGCCCGCAGGAAGCAGCAAAGCCCCCCTCCTCTCCCCGCCGCCTTCGAAGGCAGGGGCAAGGCACATTCTTTCAGGGTGACTCTGCGGGCGGGTGGGGCCCTGGCGCGGTTGGGCCAAGTCACGGGGGCACCGTAGGCAGCCGAGCTCTGAATGGGGCTATTATGAGGGAAGGGTGAACAACAGCCCCCCCCTCCTCCCCTTGTGCTGCGAGCGGCCCTTGGGACGGGTGGGCACCCTGGAATCTCAGAATGTGCGGGTGGGAGGGCGCCAAGAGCCGCCCGGGCGCTCCATGGAGTTTTTCACCCGGCGTGAACCGGGAACGGCGGCCGGCCGTCTCTCTCTCTCTCTCTCTCTCCATGCCGCCCTCTTTCCCCTCCTGGATCTGGGCACGGGCAGGGCCTCTGCAGCCAGACAGGTTGTCCTTCTGCAGCTCTGCCCACTCTCCTTCCTCCGTGGCCTGGCTGGCTTCGCTCCTCTCCCTCTTGAAAGTGGGCGAGGTCAGTGCCCGACCACAGGCGACCCACAGGGCCTTGGTAATGGGAAGCCCTGGAGGAAGCCGGGCGGCTGTGGTGGCTTTCCCGGGCCCAGACTGCGGAGGCCGGCACCTGACGCAGGCCGGCCTGCGGGCCTTCTCCCACCCCATCCCTGGAGCGGAGTTTGGCCATCCAGTTTTGCAGCTGGGTCTGGAATCTGCCGCTGGCTGGGCCTCTCCGCAGGCTGTGAAAACCGGGGGTGGGAGACCTCGGCCCCTCCTGTGCCTGGCTCACGTACCCCCCAGGAGGAAAGGGTCTGCGGGACAAGCGCCCGGCGAGTCTGAGTGTCCTCCAGACTTTCCCCCCAGGGAGCGGAGGGACGGGGCCCCCTTAATCCTGCCCCAACATCTGCTCGGCACCATGGGCTTCTGGGCAGGGCCTCCTTTGGGCTACGGCCACGTAGGCAGGAAGCTAGCCAAGAGGGCTGCGTGAAGGGCTAGCTCGGCACGGTTTCACCCCTTCCTTGCCAAGCGGAGAGGGGTGGCGCGCTTGGCAGCCCTGCAGAGGGTGGCCAGGCCTCCCTCAGTCGGCCCCTTTTCTCCGCAGTCTACTTCCGGGCTCAGGTGAACTTCACCCATTCCCTCGAGTACAGCCCCCGCCTGGAAGATGTCAACTCGGAGGCCTTCCTGGAGGTGTCCGAAGCGGTGGTGGATACGGTGAGCCCCCCCCCGGCCCCCCACCCCATCTGTCCTCAACTCTCTCTCCGGAGCAGGTGCCTGGCAAAAGTCACCCCTGCTTCCCTTGTGGGCACCACTGAGGTCCTCTTTCCATCAGCAGTTGGCCTGGCTCTTCCTTCCTCCCTCCCTGCTGCCTTTTAGCCTCACAGCAACCTTGTGAGGTAGGCCAGGCTGACAGAAGGGCCTGGCTCAGATTCCCGCAGCCGATTCCGAGCCCCCTCTTCGAAGGAGAGGCTGCCTCGAGATCTGTTGGGGTTCTGAAAACACGGTGGATTTAAAAATTACTCGGGGCTGGCCTCTCTCTGACCACGAGCTCCCCGTAGATCACTGGGAGAGATCCCCTCTTCCTCTTCCTCCTCTGCCCAAGCAGAGGTCCTAAGTCCAGAAGCCGAGGGGAGGTTAGAGCGCTGCCCCCCAAATTGTCTAAACCGTTCCCCACCTTTCTCTTAGCTGGAATCTGAATACATCAAGATCCCCGGCGAGCAGTCGGTCAGCGTGGTTTTTATCAAGTGAGTATCTGGGCGTGGGGAGGGGAGAGAGGCTTCGGGTCAGAATTTGAACCCGCGCCCTCTTCAGAAGTCGCAGGCTTGCCAAAGCAGCCGGGGTGGGACTAAGTTTGGGGCGGCCTGTGAAAACGCACGCCGGTTTCCTGTCCTGCCCCGCAGGGAGGTTGACGGCTACATCTTCGTGGAGCTGGACGTGGGATCCGAGGGGAACGCGAACGACCGGCAGATCCGCGAGGTGCTCTTCTCCGTGGTGGACAGCGGGTCCATCGCCTCCTACCGCACCTCCCGGAAGGGATTCCAGTTCCGGCGCCTGGGAGCAGGTGAAGCTGCCCGCTGACCCTAACCAGAGGGGAGGGCAGCGCCGGTGGGGGGCCGGGGGGGAGTGTCCCCCCCACGCCGCTAACTTCTGGGTTTGCTTTCAGCCCAAACCCCGCCTCCCCCCTTCTCTGAAGCGCCACCAGGTAAGCCGGGGGCCGGAGAGGTGCACGGAGGCCTGCGCGGAGTGCACCGATTCAGCTGTCCCGTTTTCTCTCTGCACGCCCCTGGCCTCCCTGGCATCTTTGCCGGAAGCGAGTCTTAGCAGGGAAGACACTTGTCCCCTGAGGGGGCTCCGGTTTCAGCAGCTGCCGGGCGCTCGGCCCCATAGATGGAGGAGGGGGAGGAAGAGGAGGAGGAGGAGAAAGGCCAGTCTTTTGTCCTTCCCTGCCCAGATTCTGTCTGGAGCTGGGGGTCCACCCTATCCCCTTCCTCCTGCATACCTAGCCCTCCCTCCCCCCCTCCCCCCCAAAGCATTTCCAGGCCTCCTTGCGCCCCTCCTTGCGCTCCGTGTGAGTGTGCAGCATGTAGATCTTGGCCTTTGATGTGAGCGCTTGTCATTCCCAGCAACTCTGGACGGAGCTTCCCAGCTGGGAAGGGCGGCTGTGCACTGCTATGCAGCTCTAGCACATACCTAGGAGTCCAGCAGGCACTGCCTCCCCTCCTCCCCCCCCCAACACACTTCTCTTGCTGTCGTGTTGTTGTGTCTTTTTGCTGAGCAAAACCGGGAAGCCAAAAGCTGCCTCGGGGCCCCCAAAGGGCCCCTGAAAAGTACACCTTGCTGAACTTGCCTTGTGCTTCCAGACTCTCGCTGTGTGCCGTGATGTTTGTGTGCGCTTGATGAGCAAGGCAAGGGGTTGGCAGCCTGGTTGGGGGGGGGAAGGGTTTAGCTGGAGGGCTTGGGTGCAATCACAACGTAGCGGGAGTGGCACAGGGGATCTCGCCTGCACTCCAGTTCCAGAAAGATCTTTGGCAAGAGAGCTTTACAATCAGAAAACCTGCTTCCTATTTGTGTGTTCTAAGGGTCGCGGCAGGGTGCAGGTGCCCAAGATCAGTCAGATCGTTGGGGGCGTCAGATGTGGGGTTTGACCCCCCAAGTCCTGCCCACATAATTGCATTTTGTCCAGTGGGAGAGGAGAGACTCTGCTTCCAAGGCAGGGAGGTGCCCGTAGGGCTTTACAAAGAGGCAGGAAAGGCGTTCTGGACTTCGGGTCTTTCCGTTTCTTGTCACCGTCCTCGGCCCAGTTGCAGCCCCCCTCCTAACCCCAACCTCTCCTTCAGTCACCCCAGAGATCCGGCCTTGCACGGCGGAGGAGTTCACTTGCCTGAACGGAGAATGCATCGCCAGCGAGTTCTTCTGCGACCGGCGGCCGGATTGCCGCGACATGTCGGACGAGCTGGACTGCGGTGGGCAAATTGGGGCCGCGGGCGGTTATGGGTTCCTGGTCGTCTTAACCGCGAGGTGTGGCTCAGTTGCGTTTCTCTCTGCCCCACAGATGAGCCCGAGCCCCCCGAGTGTGCCCCTCAGGAGTTTGCCTGTGACAGCGGGGAATGCGTACCCCGAGCGTCGCACTGCAACGGACACCCCGACTGCGGAGACGCTTCGGACGAGGATGGCTGTGGTGAGGGGGTTTTTTTGCGGGCAGGGGAGGCCTCCGTGTGTCTTCCTGAGAGTCCCCTGTGATTCTGCCTTTACCAAACCCCCACCCTGTGAGGGAGGCGGGGGAAGTTAGTCCTCGGATGCGGCTGCTTTCAATCGACACGAAGGGTTTGGGTTCCAGGCGTGTGAAACCGCGTGGCTGCAGTTTGTAGAACTGAGCGGTCGTGTGAACGGAGTCTCACCATACCTTCCGCTCTGCCTTTTGCATCCGGGCACAGGCGGGGGACAAAGCTGTCCTTCGCCACACTCCTCCTCTTGACCCATCACTCTCTCCTCTGCTCCGGCAGAACCTGAGAGGCCTTTGGGCCCCGCCTCCTCCCCGTCGCCCAGCACCGCCCGGATCCCTGCCACCACGTCCCCCATCACCACCCGCCGGGTACCAGTCACCAAGCCCCCACTGGGGCCCGGGTTCCACTCCTGCCGGAAAGACGAGGCCGTGTGCTCCAACGGGCAATGCATCCGCCGGGACTATCTGTGTGATGGCGAGCGGGACTGCCCGGATGGCAGTGACGAACAGAACTGCGGTGAGTCCCGGGGGGCTGCAGGCGGGCTGCGCGCGCCCTGGTGCGGAAGAGAGAGAGAGAGAGAACCGCAACGGTAACTCTCCTTTTGTCGCCCCTCCAAGGCACTCCCTCACCCTGCGAACCCAATGAGTTCCGATGCCGGAACGGGCACTGCGCCCTCACGCTTTGGCGCTGCGACGGGGACAATGACTGCGCCGACGGCTCTGACGAGCTGGACTGCCGTGAGCACCGAGAGCTCGGCGGGGGTGGTGGGGGTGGGGGTGGTTGTGATTGTGGGGGAGACCCCCTCTGCAAATCTTGAGTCCGCTGGGGCTGTGTTCAAGGGGCGAATTCTGAAAAGTAGGAAATCACGAACCGGGTCTTGGTTTGGGGAAGATTTGGTCCTGAATGAAGGCCTCGCAGGACCCCCGAAGCCATCCCGAAGCGGCATCTGGTAAAGACTCCTGGTGCAGAGGATGTTGAGTCCTCCCTCTCTCTTCCTCCCTGCAGCCACCAAGGCCCCTGGAGACACCTGTGGCCCCGACCAGTTTGTCTGCCTCTCCAGCCACACCTGCATCCCGGCCAGCTACCAGTGCGATGACGAGGCCGACTGCCAGGACCGCTCGGACGAGATTGGTTGCAGTGAGTACGAGGAGGCTGGCAGGCCCAGGGAGGGATAAAATAATAATAATGATGATGATGATGATGATGATGGAAGGGACCTTGGAGGTCATATAATAATAATAAAGTTGGAAGGGACCTTGGAGGTCTTCTAGTCCAACCCCCTGATCAGGCAGGAAACCCTATAGTACCATTTCGGACAAATGGCTGTCCAGTCTCTTCTTAAAAACTTCCAGTGTTGGAGCATTCACCGCTTCTGGAGGCAGGTTGTTCCACTGGTTAATTGTTCTCACTGTTAGGAGATTCCTCCTTAGTTTTAGGTTGCTTCTCTCCTTGATGAGTTTCCATCCGTTGCTTCTTGTCCTGCCTTCAGGCGCTTTGGAGAACAGCTTGACTCCCTCTTCTTTGGGGCAGCCCCTGAGATACTGGAAGACTGCTATGATGTCCCCCCTCGTCCTTCTCTTCATTAAACTAGACATACCCAATTCCAGCAACCATTTCTTATATGTTTTAGCCTCCAGTCCCCTGATCATCTTTGTTGCTGGAGGGAGGGATGGAAAGTGAAGGGAGTGCCAGGGGACTGGCTTCTTGGGGTTCCTCCCCCAGGAAACCCCAAAGCAGCAGCTTCTTCTCCCAAATGAGCTGCCTGGAAGTGGAGGCTTTGAAGCATTGCTACACCACCTCTCTGTACTCACCTCCCCTTTTAAAATAATTCACGCTCCTCTCTTCTCGACTGCCCTTCCCCGCCACCTCTCCGCTTCCTGTCCCTTCCACCCCAGTCCCTCCACAGGTCATCACTCCCCCGGAGGAGTTCATCCAGGCTGCCTCAGGGGATACCATTCGCTTCACCTGTGTGGCCGTGGGCGTGCCGACCCCCCTCATCTCCTGGAGGCTCAACTGGGGCCATATCCCCAGCAGCCGCAGGTAAGCCAGCCCCGGGCGAGCCCCCAACTGGTCCCCACCCCCTTCAAAACTTCAGGGTGCCGAATTCCTCTTGCGCCTACAGGGTGAGCTTCACCAGCGAGAACGGCCGGGGGACGCTGGTCATCCAGGATGTCAAGGAGGCCGACCAGGGGGCTTACACCTGCGAGGCTATCAACGCCCGGGGAATGGTCTTTGGCATCCCGGACGGTGTGTTGAGCGTCACGCCCAGCCGAGGTGAGCTGCAGCATAGCTGGAGAATCGCGCCCCTCCGTCCTGGCTGGGATTTGCTCCCTGGCATCTACCTCTCGGCCTCTGAGCCTCCCTTCCCTTCACCCTTCAGGGCCCTGCCCCGAGAGGCACTTTCACGTTGAAGGGACCGGTCAGTGCTTGCCCTGTTTCTGCTTCGGGGTCGCCAAATCGTGCCGCAGCACCGGCCGCTACCGTCAACAAATCCACCTCCGGTTCGATGAACACAACAATTTCAAAGGTGAGCCGGTGTGGGGAAGCCACCTCCACTCAAAGACAGGCCAAGGGTGGCACTCGCTAGCCCTCCCTGAACCCCCCGGCTTGTTGCATTCCCCTTTCTTCCCAGGGGTGAACGTGACCTCCCTCGATCAACCCGGGACGCCTCCCCTGGCCTCGACGCAGATGCAGATCGAGCCCGGCGTGCAGGAGTTCCGGCTGGTCGATCTCTCTCGGCACTTCCTCACGCACGATGCCTTCTGGACCCTCCCCAAGCAGTTCCTGGGGAACAAGGCAAGGGCTGCAGATGCCACGCTTCCCAAATGCCCACCCGTCTCCTGACTCTCGGGGACTCTGGGCATCTTTGCATGCCCACCTTCTCACTAACAATTGGCGCTCCCCACTTTTCCTGCAGGTGGATTCCTACGGAGGCTCCCTCCAGTTCACGGTGCGCTACCACCTGGGCCGAGGCCAGTCGGAGCCCGTCCCGAAGCCGGACGTGGTCATCGTGGGCAACGGGCAGAAGCTGTTTTACCGGCTGCACACGCCCCCCGACCCCTTTGTGGCCAACCGGCGCCAGGTCCATTTCACGGAGGTGAGTGCCAGGGGAGCCAGGGATGGGGGGGAAGGGAGGAGAAGGAGAGCACCTGTCTCTTGCTGGGACCCCCGTAAAGACCCCCTGCCAAATGGGACATACGTTCCCAATACTTTAGGGCTTCCGGGGATTCAGGATGCTGAGTGTGCAGCTCTTGCTTAGAAGCGGAAACTGCCCTGACCCACAGGCCACGTTGGATCCTGCTTGTGGCTCAAAGAAATGAGCCAAGCTGCAGGCCACGGGAAGCACATTCGCACAGGGGTCTGCTTTTAGTTGAGCGGGCGAGACCGGGGCTGTCTGATCATGTTTTATGCCTGCAGGAGAACTGGCAGAAGGAGTCCGGGGAGCCCGTGAGCCGAGAGGAGCTGCTCCTTGCCCTGCAGAACCTGGAGGCCCTCATGATCCAGACGGTTTATGATAACCGGATGGCCACCGTGGGACTGAGCAACATCGTCATGGACACCACCACCACGGAGGTCACCGGCCTGGGTGTGGCGCATCACGTCGAGGAGTGCAGGTGCCAAAGGGCGGGGGGGAGGCTGTGGGGGAGCTACATCTGGGGAATCTCTAGGTCCAAAATCTGGGGGAAGAGGGGCTACTGGATCACACATTCCCCATAATCAAGTCTGCTGTGGAGTTCAGATACGCTTTTAGCTTGTTCAGATACGCTTTTAGCTTATTGTGGGTCACCCTAGTCCAGGGGTAGGCAACCTTGGCTCTTTTATGACTCGTGGACTTCAACTCCCAGAATTCCTGAGCCAGCATGGCAACCTTTCCCTTTCCCCTCAGCGTGGCTGGCTCAGGAATTCTGGGAGTTGAAGTCCACGAGTCATAAAAGGGCCAAGTTTGAAGACCCCTGGTATCGACTCTCCTGCTTGAGCAGGGGGTTGGGCTAGATGACCTCTAGTTCAGGGGTCTTCAAACTTGGTCCTTTTATGACTTGTGGACTTCAACTCCCAGAATTCCTCAGCCAGCGTGCACGCTGGCTGAGGAATTCTGGGAGTTGAAGTCCACAAGTCATAAAAGGACCAAGTTTGAAGACCCCTGCTCTAAATCGGCCTTATGGCTGCACAGACTAGGCCAGGGGTAGGCAACCTGGGCTCTTTTATGACTCATGGACTTCAACTCCCAGAATTCCTGAGCCAGCCATGCTGAGGGGAAAGGGAGAGGTTTCCAAGCTGAGCCATGCTGGCTCAGGAATTCTGGGAATTGAAGTCCACAAGTCATAAAAGAGCCAAGGTTGCCTACCCCTGCCCTAGTCTGTCAGAGGGTCTGAACGGGGAAGAGAGGGTTAATGGAAGGTTCCCCATCTCCCCTTACCTGCATCATAGAGATGGGAGCCTACAAGGGCTGGAAAAACAGGGCCACTCTAGGACTCCTAATTTTCGCCTTCCCTCTTCCCAAGACCCACAGCTTCAACCCTGATCGGGAAGCAGCGGGGTTTTGGTTTTTTTTGCATTCAAACATTATTTGCCTCCCTGCCCGGAACACCCCATTTTGTAGACCTGTTTGCTGTGGCTGGGATTCCCACAAACGTCACTCTTCCCTCTTTGCCCATCCCTGGTTGTGCTGCCAGTGTTGGAGAAAGACATTTAACTCTGAGTAGACCTATCGGGCTTGGCTGTGACCTGAAATGCCCACCTAGTCCTCTCGGGGCAAAGGTGCTTCCACCCAGAGCCGTTCTGAAATAGCCAGAACAAGGGCATGCTTGGCACTAACTCCTCGCCCGCCTTGCCCGCCGCCGCCTCTGCTGGAAGGGGCAGCTGGTAGTTGCTGCTGTTGCTGCCGCTGTTTTCAGCTCCGCTCGTCCTTTCTTCTGCAGGTGCCCCGTGGGCTACTCTGGCCTGTCCTGTGAGCGGTGCGAGCCTCACTTCAAGCGAGTGCCCAGCGGCCCTTACCTGGGCATCTGTTCCGGCTGCAGCTGCCACGGCCACTCCACCTCCTGCGACCCCTTCTCTGGCTACTGCCTGGTGAGCGGCAGGACCGTGGGTGTTGGGGAGGGGCAGGGTGGGCCACCTAATGGCCTACTTTGGCCACGTAATGAGAAGGAAGGACTCCCTGGAGAAGAGCCTGATGCTGGGAAAGATGGAGGGCAAGAGAAGAAGGGGACGACAGAGAAGGAGGTGGCTGGATGGAGTCCCTGAAGCAGCAGGCGTAAGCTTCAGTGGACTCCAGAAGATGGTAGAGGACAGGAAGGCCTGGAGGAACGTTGTCCATGGGGTCGCGATGGGTCGGACACGACTTCGCAACTAACAACAACAAAGGGTGGGCCCTGAAGTCTAGGGGACGCTCCAGGAGAAGCTTTTAGATGTAGGGTCCCGACTGGAGAAAGTCTGAGGAGGCACCGAGGAGGACGGCTGGGAAATGTTTCAAGCAGCAAAAAAGTGTCCTAACGAAGGCTGTGGTGGCGCAGTGGTCAGAATGCAGCATTGCAGGCTAACTCCGCATACCCGTTGCCAGGAGTTCGATCCTGACCGGCTCACGGTTGACTCAGCCTTCCATCCTTCGACGTCGGTCAAATGAGGACCCAGATTGTTGGGGGGCAAAATGCTGACTCTATAAACTGTTTAGAGGGGGCTGTAAAGCACAGCAAAGCGGTATATAAGCCTATGTGCTGTTGCTATTGCTACGTTGCATTATTTGGTACCCAGTGCAAAAAATTAAGATTTGCTTAGTGGGACACCGCCATCCCCAAGTCCTTGTATTCCTCCGTCAGGCATCTTTTCCCTTCTTCTGCTCTGCAAACGCCCCAAATGCATCTATGATGAACGCGTGAAACTTTGGGAGGTGCTCTTTGCTCCCTCGCGGGGTCCCAGATCCAAATGGTGATGACGTTGGGACTCAGACCAGAGCAGGGTCTGCCCTCTCACGGCCCTTTCCTGCCCCTCCTCTTCTCTCTTCGTGCAGAACTGCCAGCACAACACTGAAGGGCCGCGGTGCGACAAATGCAAGCTGGGCTTCTTCGGCGATGCCACCCAGGCCAGCCCAGCAGCGTGCCGGCCTTGCCCGTGCCCGTACACTGAAGCTCCACGCAGGTGAGGGAGGCCAAGGTTTTCTAGAGGGGATGCTTGGAACAGTTTCAGCATTCATCTACGGCAGGGGTCTTCAAACTTGGCCCTTGTATGACTTGTGGACTTCAACTCCCAGAATTCCTCAGCCGGCGTGCCTGGTTGAGGAATTCTGGGAGTTGAAGTCCACGGGTCTTCAAATTTGGCCCTTGTATGACTTGTGGACTTCAACTCCCAGAATTCCTCAGCCGGCGTGCCTGGCTGAGGAATTCTGGGAGTTGAAGTCCACGAGTCTTCAAACCTGGCCCTTGTATGACTTGTGGACTTCAACTCCCAGAATTCCTCAGTCGGCGTGCCTGGCTGAGGAATTCTGGGAGTTGAAGTCCACGAGTCTTCAAACCTGGCCCTTGTATGACTTGTGGACTTCAACTCCCAGAATTCCTCAGCTGGCGTGTCTGGCTGAGGAATTCTGGGAGTTGAAGTCCACAAGTCAAGAGGTCTTCAAACTTGGCCCTTGTATGACTTGTGGACCAACTCCCAGAATTCCTCAGCCAGTGTCCCACCCCCCTTCTCAGGAAAGGGAAGTCAGCTCCCAGGGGCTGGGAGAAGCCAGTTTCCCCCTTAACCTCCATATACACACCTTTCCACAGCCATCTTCAGGTGCTGCACCGGTGCAACTTCTGCTCCTGGAGCGAGCTGCACCAGTGGGGCCCGCTGGAGGCAGGGCAGGGCTCCCTGGCAGCCAGCCTGACGGTCCTTTCCCTCTGGCAGGTTCTCCAACTCGTGCTTCTTGGATACGGACAGACAGGCGACCTGCGACGCCTGCCTCCCAGGCTACACGGGACGCCGCTGCGAAAGGTGAAAGACCCAGACCTCTCCTGTCAAAGCCTTCCTCAGCCAGAAGTGTGGGGCCGCAGCAGCCCCGTTGTGCTAGCTGGGGTGTGTGTGTGTGTGTGTGTGTGTGTGTGTGTGTGAGGTTAGGGTCAGGTGACCAATCCGAGAGGGGGGACCTCTGACTGGCCCTTTCCGTCCCTGCCCTTGCAGGTGTGCTCCTGGCTATGAAGGCAACCCCATCCAGCCGGGCGGGAAGTGCGTGCTGATTGGAGGAGATGGAATCCCGCCTCCAGGTAATCTCCTTGGGATCCCAGAGGGCTGTTTCAAGGCCCAGCAGGGCTGACCGCCCTGGGAGAGGGAGTTTTTTGTCTTGCCGGTCTACAATTTCTGCTTTTATCCCGGCTGTTACGCTGCATTCTTCTTGGGTGCCCCATCTCTCCCTCTCCCGGAGGCCGGCTCCTTGGCCCCCCCATCCTCCACAGCCTCCCTCACATCCCAGAGAGGGGTAGTGTGAACTAGGCTGGGCCTGAGGGAGGCGCTCTCCTTCATCCGCTTGTCTCACTAGGGAAGGATTTACCCTGCGACGAGCGAGGGGGCAGGAAGGCCTCGGATGGGGGCTGCCGGTGCAAGGTAAGCTGATGGCGCTGGGGGTGGAACACTGGAAAGGAGGCAGTTTGCAAGCAGACCCTTACACACACACACACACACCCTGTTTCAGAACCCAGCTGGTTGGTACCTCTGGGACGTCTGGGGCTCAGCCCGGTGAAAAGGGAGGGTTTAGACTTGGACTTTGGGATGCCGAAATTCCAAATTAGGAGGGAGTCCCTGCGTGTTATCTACGTGCAAGCACCCCGGTCCACGCTCAGGAAAGAGTTTTGCCAAGCAGGGCCCTCGTTTTCCTTTCTGACCTCTGAATCGGAGAGGGTGTGAGATTAAAACATTCGAAAGCCTTGGCCCCATGGAACACGAATCCGGGGATCTGCTTGGCAAGTTCTTGGGGGGGGGACACGGGGAGCACCGGAGTGTGGAAAGGCTGATAAGAGAGCCAGCAAGAGGGCTGGCTGGGTCAAGGTGGCTGGGTGGCCTCAGCTATGCCTGTCTGGAAGCCAGGATTTAGGGCGGAGGCTGCTTAGAGAGGCAGCCACTGTTTTGGCACCCCATGTGATTTCTCTCTTTGCCTCTCTCTCTTTCTCTCTTTCTCTTTCTTTTTCTTTCACTCTTTTGCTCTCTTTCTCTTTTGCTCTTTCTCTCTCTTTCTCTTTCTCTCTGTCTTTCTCTCTTTTTCTCTCTTTCTCTTTTCCTCTCTTTCTCTTTCGTTCTTTCGCTCTTTCTCTTTCTCTTTTTCTCTCTCTCTGTCTTTCTTTTTCTCTTTTTCTCTCTTTCTCTCTCTCTCTCTGTCTCTCTTTCCCTCTCTTTCTCTCTCTTTCCCTCTTTTGCTTTCTCTCTCTCTCTCTTTTGCTCTCTTTTGCTTTCTCTTTTTCGCTCTTTCCTTCTTTCTCTTTCTCTTTCCCTCTTTCTCTCTCTTTCTCTTTCTCTTTCCCTCTCTCTGTTGCTCTTTCTCTCTCTTTCTCTCTCTCTCTCTTTCTCTCTCTCTCTCTGTCTTTCTCTCTCTCTCTTTCTCTCTCTCCCTCTGTCTCTCTCTTTCTCTCTCCCTCCGTCTCTCTTTCCCTCTCTTTCTCTTTCTCTCTCTCTCTTTTTCTTTTCCTCTCTCTCTCTCTCTTTCTCTTTCTCTCTTTCTCTCCTCTTTCTCTTTCTCTTTCTCTCTTTCTCTTTCTCTTTTTCTCTCTTTCTCTCTCTCTCTTTCTCTCACACCAGCCCAATGTCCAGGGCGCGTCGTGCAGCGAGTGTGTCACGGGCAGCTTCCACTTGAGCCACGGGAACCCCGATGGCTGCCTCCGCTGTTTCTGCATGGGGGTCTCCCGCCAGTGTGCCAGCTCATCCTGGAACAGAGATCAGGTAGAGCCCTCGGGCCGACTCCTTCGGGGGGGAGGGGAGCGGGCACTCCCAGGAAGACACCACTCTGACGCTCCCTCCGAGGCCCTTCCGACAATTGACCCCCTTCGCTCCTGGCTCTAGGTGCAGCTGGCACAGGAGGATGCCCAGAGGGGGCAGTTCACCCTCGCCAACTTGGCCAACACCCGGACGGTCAGCGAGGGCATCCGCTTCGTTGGGGGCTCGGAGCTCTCCTTCTCTTCCTTCCACATTCTGCCACGGGACGTTTACTACTGGGTGCTGCCCGAGAGCTTCAAGGGAGACAAGGTGCCGCAGGGATGAGAAGGGCAGGATGCCTGGGGAGGGGGGCTGTTTCAGATGGCGGCTGGCATCTTCCTGTGCCGACTGACCCTCTGAAAGTAGAATAGGTTCTTAGGCGGCTTCCACAGATGCCCAGAGTCCTCGGATACGAGATGGGCAGCAAATACATTCCCTGATAAAAATAAGTGCAGGTTTCGATTCTTTGGCTCCCCCCAATATTAGCTCTCCGTCTGCCGGCGGAACAAATAGCGGGCCAGCTCTGAGCTCGCTCTCTGCTTCACCCCCCCCTCTCAGGTGACCTCGTACGGCGGAGAGCTGCGCTACACCATCACCCACCACGCCTTGCCCGGCTCCCCTCTGCTGCGCGGCCAGCCCGACGTTCTGCTGCAAGGAAACGGCATTTTCCTGGAACACGTGGCGACCAGCGCCCCCCTGCCTGGGGAGCCGACCACCTTTGCGGTGTCCTTCCGGGAGGTGAGAGAGGCTGGCCTGGCAGGACGTCGCCCTCGATTCACCTGGGCCTTCAGTCCACCTGCCCAACAACGGGGCAATTCAGCCACAGCAGCAGCAGCCACAAATGGGGAAGGGAGGCTTTGTCTATGTGTGCGTGTGTGTGTGTGTTTGGTCGTTCTGATTTCCCCACCTTGAGAGAAGGTCTGGTGGACAAAGGCAGCATTCACCGCCCCCTCCCCCATCTCCCCTTTTAGCAAGCCTGGCACCGTGCCGATGGGCAGAACGCCACCCGGCAGCACCTCCTGATGGCGCTGGCTGACATCGATGTTTTCATGATCCGGGCCTCCTACGCCGAGCGACCTTCTGAGAGCAGGTAGGGCGATGTGTGTGTGGGTGTGGCTGTGTGGGTATGTGAAGGTGAGGGTGGTCCCTGAATTCTGCCAGACAGGAAGGAGCCAAGGGGCTTGTGGGTGGGTTCTTGATGGCTGATCGGTCATTCCTGCCCTTCTCCGGGCAGAACAAGTGGTCTTAACTCAGTTTCCTCCAACAGGATCTCTGACATCCACATGGATGTGGCAGTGCCACACACCACGGGCCTGAACCCAGCCCCAGAGGTGGAGGAATGCACCTGCCCGCCCGGGTACCGAGGGCCATCCTGCCAGGTGAGCGGCTAGTGGAGGGTGGGCACGGATCTCTGAGCCTGGCAGAGGGCTCTTGGGGTGGCGTGGAGAAAGCACCCAGAAAGTGGGGCAGCCCACAGGCCAGCTGACCTCCTGTTGAGTTGCCCCATCCTTCCTCTGTTGCAGGACTGCGACGTTGGGTACACACGTAGCACCAGCGGCCTCTACCTGGGCACCTGCGAGCCCTGCGGTTGCAACCGGCATGCAACCGAGTGCGACACGGAGACGGGAGAGTGCCAGGTGGGAGCAGGGGTGCCCCCAGACCGGCAACCGTTCCCAGACGAGGAGGAGGAGGAGGAGGAGGAGGAGGAGGAGGAGGCCCCTGAGAAACCCCCTCCCCGGGCCTGGTGCTCGTGGCTGAGCCACGGCTTCCTCTGCTTCCAGGGCTGCCAGCACCACACTGAAGGGCTCCATTGCGAACGCTGCCAACCTGGATTCTACGGGGACGCCCGCCGCGGGACGCCCAGGGACTGCCAGCCGTGCCCCTGCCACGGGCCACCTTCAGCCATCCAGTAGGTGCCCCCCGTGACCGTCGGTGGTCCGTTCCTCGCCACGAGAGGCTCTTTGACTTCCTCTTCTTTCGCCGCTGCAGACAAACCTGGACCTGCTTTGTGGATGCAGACGGAGGGCCAACCTGTGACTCCTGTTCCCCGGGCTACATCGGGCGCCAGTGTGAACGGTAGGCAGCCCAAGAGCGCTCGGGGCCTGGGCTCAGCTGGTGGGGCTGCCCGTCGGCTTTCAGCCGGGGCCGGTCTGGCTCCAGCTTCTGCTTCTTAACTGAGCCCATTCTCTCTCTTGGCCCAGGTGTGCTTCTGGCTACGTTGGGAACCCGAGTCAGGGTCAACCCTGCACAGGTGAATTTAAAGGAAGGAGGACAAGTGGATGACGGGGACTGGGGGGTTGGCCATGCAAGAGGGAGGGGAAGCTGCTCCCGCCAGGGTGGAATTGGAATTGGAACGGTGAGAGAGAAAGAAAGGAAGAAGGCCCCGAAGCCTGGCCTTGCATGAGGATGGCACAGAAGGGGGGGAGGGGCTGAAAAGGGGGCGATGGGGGGAGGAGAGAAAGAAGCATCCAGAGTGCGCACCGGCCCACGGCCCCTTTTCTCTCCGCCTCCCTCCCTCCAGATTCCGACTCCCGGTGCCAGTGCCACCCGCACGGCAGCATCAGCAGCCGGTGTGATGCCAACAGGCAGTGCCAGTGTAAGGTAGGCAGGGAGGGAGGAGGGCAGGGGGAAGGGCCCTGGTGCTTTCCACCCCCTCCTGACTTAACCCCCTCTGCAGAGTGTGCTGGCCTGCTCCCCTCTTGCCCAGCTTCCTAGGCTCGGCCCCCCACAAGTCTCCAGCCGTGCTCCAGCCGGCCTTCCTTTGCCCCCTGCCTCTCTGCCCAGAGCGGGGTGTGTGTGTGTGTATCTTCCTGCTCCCCAGCAGCACCTTTGCCTCCTTCCAGGACCACGTGGAGGGCTTATCCTGCGACCGCTGCCGCCTTCATCACTTCCACCTGAGTGCGGAGAACCCCCTGGGCTGCCTGCCCTGCTTCTGCATGGGGGTCACCCAGCAGTGCACCAGCTCGTCCTACCACCGGGACGTGGTAAGGGGGTCTCAGGGCTTCCCTCCTAGGGGCGATCAGGGGTCTTCCGACGGGCTTTCCTCAGCTGGTCCTGCTGTTCACCCCCCACCCCGCAGATCGCTACCTCCTTCCATCCCGGAGACTTCCAGGGCTTCGCGCTGGTCAACCGACAGCGCAGCATCCGCCTTCTGACCGGCTTTGCAGTGGAGGAGTCCCCCAGGGGCCCTCAGCTCTCCTACGGCCAATTTGGGGAGCTGGGCCAGGAGTCCTATTACTGGCAGCTGCCGGAGGCCTACCTGGGAGACAAGGTGAGTCCAGGTGGGAGGGCGGGGCTAACCTGGCACCCGACATGGCATCGCAGTGAAGGATGGCTCCTCTGTGGAAGCTTTTGGGGGTGGGGGAACCCTCCTGTCTGGCCAGGACGGAGGGCGCGTGTCCACAGCGAGGGTTGCTCCACAGAGGAAGGTAGCTGAGATCGGGGGCTTCTGATCCATGGGGGGGGGGAAGAGGGAGGGAGGGTCACAGGAAATCCCTGAGTTTTCCTCCAGAGAACTCTGGCAGTTTACATTCATTTGTGGCGGCCCAGTGGTCGGAATGCAGCATTGCAGGCTAAACTCTGCCCACTGCTGGCAGTTCGATCCTGACCGGCTCAAGGCCGACTCCGCCTTCCATCCTTCCGAGGTCGGTAAAACGAGGACCCAGATTGTTGGGGGGCAAATATGCTGACTTTCTAAACAGCTTGGAGAGGGCTGTAAAAAGCATTGTGAAGCGGTACGTAGGTCTACGCGCCGTTCTTCCCGGTCAACGGGAGAGCGCAGGTAGATTCCGGAGCCCATGTGCCTGTGTCTGACCTGGGAGAAGCGGCGAATGGTGCACAGTGTCCCTCCCCCTCGACTGGCGGCTTCAGCCCTCCCCCCTCCAGCCTGTGTGCCTCTATAGGTCTAAAATAACCTTCCTATCCATCTTTCCCCAAAGTCTCAGAGTCGTCACAGCTTCGGGCTCTTTCCTCCCCTTTGGCTCCACAGTGGGCAGAACTGCCCATGAGGATCAGGGAGAGGCACGTTGTGGCCTTGAGGGGGGGGTCTTTTGGGGAGCCCCCCCAACACCGAGGCCCGTGTCTGTGGGAAAGCAGCGGACAGCTCTCTCTCTATTTTACTTCTCTGTTTCTCTTTCCTGCTTCTTGTTCCTTCTTTTCTGCCTGACCTGCTTGCCAGGGGGAGACCTATTATGCCCGGATGCGTCGTGCCCACAAGGTATGCTGGCCCAGGCCCATCCAAGGAGCCCCAAAGAGTGTGGGGCAGCTCCTGACCTCTCTGGCGTGGGGCGGGGAACCAGACACGTCTCCTTCTATCCTTTTGGCACCGGCGTCCCTCCAGATTTGTGTCCCTGCAGGGGAAGGAGGACAGGGGGGCAGAAAACCAGGGTGCACGTGGGGCTGAGATCCTGGGGGGAGCTGTCAGTGGGGCTGTGCTTTCCCAGCTCTTCGGGTCCGGCCGTCCTCGTGTGTGGCGGCTCCCCTTGTTTCTGGCTTACCCTGCCCATCGCAGTTGCGTTCTTGCGTTCCCCGGGGACAAGGGGAGACCTTTGGGGCTGACGGCTTTGGAAGGGGAGCCGGCACAGGCCTCACCAGCCTGCCTCCTCCCTCCCTTCCTCCCTCCCTCCCTCCTGGCAGAATTCCACATCCCTCTCGGAGCAGCAGCTGCGGAAGGAGGTGGCCGCGGGGTGGATCCCCAGCCCTCTGGCCCTCCAGAGCAGGGGCAGGCGAGCTGCTCAGGTAACGGACCCCAGGGGGCTGGGGAGAGCTGCAGAGTCTCTCCGGCTCCGGGGTGTGCTGTGGACGAGGCGAGGCACCCCTGGGCAATGGGGAGTCAGCCGTGAGCCTGTCGGCTCTTGCGGATTTGGAAAGAGCCTGGAGAACTATGGAAGATTGCTGCTCTCGACTCGACTCGTCTCGTCTCCTCTTTTCTCCTCTCTCTCTCTCCTCTCCCCTCCCCTCTCCTCTCTCTCCTCTCTTCTTCTCTCCTCTTCTCTCCATTCCTCTCCTCTTTCTCCTCTCTTCTCCTCTTCTCTCTCTCCTCCATTCCTCTCTCTCTCTCTCCTCTCTTCTCCATTCCTCTCCTCTCCTCTCTCTCCTCTCTTCTCCTCTCCTCTTCTCTCTCTCCATTCCTCTTGTCTCGTCTCCATTCCTCTCCATTCCTCTCCTCTCTCTCCTCTCCATTCCTCTCTCTCTCCTCTCCTCTCCTCTCCTCTTTTCTCTCTCCACCATTCCTCTCCTCTCTCTCTCCTCTCTTCTCTCTCTCCTCTCCATTCCTCTCCTCTCTCCTGTCCATTCCTCTCCTCTTTCTTCTCTCCTCTCCTCTCCTCTCCCCTTCCCTTCCCTTCTCTCTCTTTCCCTCCCTCCCTCTTTCCCTTCTCTCTCTCTCTCTCTCTTTCCCTCCCTCCCTCTTTCCCTTTTTTCTCTACTCTACCATCAGGCCCAGGAAACTCAGCTGAGACAGGATGCTGACATCTGGGAGATGCTTTCCCGCCTTGCAGCAGAAGGCAGCCCCCCCACATCTTCCCCACCCGCCAAACTGCGGAGGCCCCCTGTGGCCCGCAGAGGCCCCCTGCACCCTCCCCGCTCGGCTGCTCCCCCAGGCAGGTCTTCTCTGCTCCCTCCTTCTCTGGCCGCCCCTCCCGGCTCAGCCCCCCAGGTACACCTCTTCCGCCTTGGGACCTCTGCACGTGTTCTGGCTGGAAGGGGCTGGCAGCCCCTCTTTCTTTCCCCAGGGCCAATTGGCCTTGCCAAACCCCTCTGTGGCAGTTGACCCCAGGCCCCTCCTGCCCTTTTCTTTTCGCTGAATGGCCAACCTGAGTGGCTGAAAACATGTCTTCTCTTCCTTCCTTCCTCCCTCCCTTCCTCTTTTCCCTCTCCTCATTTCCTTCCTTCCTTCCTTCCTTCTCTCTGCGTGGGGCTGCCCCTCCTCTGTCCTGGAGTCCAGGGAGGTGGCCTTCCCAAAGGACAGTCTGTTGATGCCAACAAGCACCTGGTTTTTGCTTCCCAGAACCGGCACTGGGGGGCTGAGGCCCCAAAGGTACCCCTGCATGGGCTGGAATTGCTTCAGGTGGCCTCCCAGGGACCAGGCAGGCAGAGCTTTGGGCAAGCGGATGTTGAAGCATCCAGCGCTTGGCTGCCCAGGAGCCCTTTCGGTGTGGGCCGGTGGGTGGGTGGGTGGGTAGGAAGGAAGGAGCGAGGAAGGAAGGAAGGAAGGAGAAGCGAGGAAGGAAGGAGCAAGGGACGAAGCAAAGAAGGAAGGAAGGAAGGAAGGAACGAAGAAGAAGCGAAGAAAAGGATAGGAAGGAGGGAGGGAGGGAGGGAGGGAGGAAGGAGGAAGGAAGGAAGGAAGAAGAAGCAAGGGAGGAAGCAAAGAAGGAAGGAAAGAAGAAGCGAAGAAGGAAGGATAGGAAGGAAGGAGCTAAGGAGCGGAGTGAGGAAGGAAGGAGCAAGGGAGGAAGCAAAGAAAAAAGGAAGGAAGAAGAAGCGAAGAAAGAAGGATAGGAAGGAAGGAGCGGAGGGAGGAAGGAAGGAAGGAAGGAAGAAGCGAAGAAAAGGATAGGAAGGGAGGGAGGGAGGAAGGAGAATTGAGGAAGGAAGGAAGAAGAAGCGAAGAAAGAAGGATAGGAAGGAAGGAGCAAAGGAGGAAGAAAGGAAGGAGCGAGGGAGGGAGGAAGCCAAGAAAGAAGGAAGGAAGAAGGATAGGAAGGAAGGAAGGAAGAGAGGGAGGAAGGAAAAAGGGAGGACGGGAGGGAGGAAAGGAAGAAAGGAAAGGAGAGTGGCAAGGGAAATGGAAAGAAGAAAGGGGAATAGAGGGAAGGGAGAGTGGAATGAAGGGAGGGAGGGAGGGAGGAAGGAAGGAGAAAAGAGATGGAAGGGAGGGGATGGGCTGCTTTCCATTCCAAGGGGCGGTGTGCTTTGTTCCGCCTTGAATTTCCGGAGCCCCTTTTCT